CGTTATACGAGGGGAAATATCTTGCAGCCGGTTTGTCTACGCGAGCGTCAACAGTATTGATTTCTGGCGCGAAATTAGGGTGGAAATCGTATTCTGGGGGGGGTTGTTGGGGTGCCAGGGAGGGCAGACACGGCGACAGTGAAGTAGAGGGGAGAGGCATGGATCATGAGTGGCCCTTGAATTGTACCTCATTCATGCTTCAATACATTTAGCTTGTAATTTTGTAGCCGAAGTTATTTATGTATGATTTACATGTATATAAGCTAATTTGGTGATAATAAGTTGCTATTCGACAACTCCCTTTTCCTTTCCGTCATACGGCTGATTCTCGCCTGTAGTAAAAGCAAAAATAAGAATTCCGGTAAATGTTTTATAATATAACAATTGGAGGACTAATTTGTTTCATGCATTTTGAACTCTTCCTCCTCTCTCCCTCACTTCTTCCCTTACTCTTTCTCTCTCCCCCACACACTCCTTCCTTCACTCTTCTCTTCCATCTCCCTCTTCCTCAATATCTAGTAGACTTGAGGCAAAGTGAAACTTAAACCGATTACTCTATCCATAATCATTCTATTATGCAGGAAGAACCGGTGTCATATATGGATTACGCGATAATGTTAGCAGACTTAGGCTTGGCTACAACCTCTGGGAGTTTGCATCACCTGCTGATGTAGATGTAAATGTATCTAGATGTAAAATCTCTCAGCGTCACTATGTAATCGAATGGCGAAAAAAATCACAGAAACTCTGATATAACTCTGCCAATAGTGTTCAAGAAAGAGTTAAGTTCTTCATTCAAAACGTCCGCTCTTGTCCCATCTCTCGTAAAGGTATTCCATATTCCGACTTTTACCCGGTTATCCATTCCTCCATCCTTACCCGTTGGCAGGCTTCTTGGTCGTCTGTTACTGGTAACAAACTACGTACTCTTAAATGTTGTGTTTCCTCGTGGCCGTCCTCCTACCACCGTAACCGGCGATGGGAAACAGCTCTGGCGAGGTTGCGTATTGGCCATACTCGCTTAACCCATGGTCACTTGATGGAGCGCCGCCCTGCTCCTTATTATCCTAGTTGCATTGTCCCTCTTACGGTCGTGCATGTTCTTCTTGAATGTCCTGACTTCCAGGACGAGCGTGTGTCTTGCTTTCCGACCGCCCCTCGCGGTCACCTGTCCCTCAATAGAATTCTTGGTGACTCGGATACTTTTGATATCGTTCGCCTTATGCGTTTTTGTTCTCATATTGGCATCCTTGGTGATATTTAGCGCCCTCTGATTATTCTGCGCATTTGATGGTGCTACATAGCCTTCCCGGTTTGGTGCCTTCTTTTGATAATTACTTACTTCATTCAAAACGATGCATTGGCATAAATTTTAGCCAAGTATCCAAAGTTTGCTTACAGTAGGTAATGCATTCACATGTCTTAACCTGCCTAGCGTGCAGTTACAGCCCCGCTCCTGTGCCAGGTAAGTCCACTTCGGAATCACCATAGCCCGTGCTACTTGGAATTCTAGTTCCGAGTATCTGAATCTCAAACAACAACATGCCGCCCAGTTGGGTGGTTGTGTGGAGCAGAATTAGCAACTGTGTAACTGTCTCACTGCTGGCGTAAATCGCCTAATTTTATAGAAACTTTTGTAAGCCACTTCGTGAATCATCAAATCACTTCGTTTGATAATTACTTCTTGAATCACGTGAGATATAAGGACTATTGATACGTGTATGAATACGTAGTAGGAGGCATCCATTTTAGTTCACTTAGAAGTATATACGTATATACTGTACTTGAATATTAATATGTATGTATATCACTAAGTATTTTATGACCTGACCAACTCTATACTCTGACGTACACAGTATTCATACCACTCCACCAACGAGAGTACGCTATTATTGTTGTTGTTTTAGATTCGGCTACTCTGAACAAAAAAAATCCAAGTAGTACGGGCTATGGTGAGCCCGTAGTGGACTTACCTTGCACAGGAGCGGGAAAGTACGCGGTCGTTAGAAGAATGGTATCAGTATTGGGTACCAACCCGTCCTCAGGCCAGGCTCATTAAAGCAGTGGCCATCCCCAAAGACGCATTCATCAATTTTAACGTATTGTGTATTAAAATAAACTTTTATTGTATATAAATGTATATTATTTTTCACCCAAGTTCTATGTATAGTTACACGTAGGTTAATTAGATTAGGTTAGGTGTTTAGGGTCTGCTGGTGATTATTTGCATTTGTAGTACGTGGGTGAAGCATCAACCCGTCCTTAGACCGACCAAGTTCATTCCATTCAGCGGTCGACCCCAATGATGCATTCATCAATTTTAACGTGCTTTTCATCCAAAAAATGAATTTTCGCAAATATAAATTAATATTGATATATATTAGCATACTTAGGCATTGGGTAGGAACGGTTTAGGGCCACAGGGCTAACAACACCGCAAACCAGGCATGATAGGGCGGATATCATTGAAACTGTTAAAATACTGAACAATTTGCAGGATGTTGATCCTCTATGGCTCTAGTTCAGCTTGCCTGCCTCAGTTTTAGCATATCCTGACTGTCTGAGGCCCAGACTCGAGCCCTGCCTGTCTGCATGGCTAACCTGCTATGCACCTAGTGTGGTGGAAAAATAGGCAGAGACCCAAAAGGCTTGGTTTCTCATTTTTTAAGTGTAGTTTTTTCTGCATTTAATAAATCAGTTTTTATCTCTTTGCTATGCATTTACATATATATTAAACATTTTGTAACTAGCTTAACAAGATTTTTACTTAAATGAACTGTGGGGTTCAGTTCCTCAACCTCTATGTCCCTCTATCTCTTTTTTCACTACTGCATCAGGGATGGGTATGGGGTTACCTTGCCTACAAAGGGGTGCATAATAAATTACTAAACTATAAAAACTACATTTTGCTAGTGTGGCCGAGTACAATAGAATATTAGGTAATAGCCTAAGCTACTCTATCACTTTTGAGATATATTTTATTGTCTCAATAAACGTACTTAAACTTATACACACCATGATCGACGTGGATGACTCAGGGGAAAGCAAGACCAGTCCGCTCCACGCCGATCCCAGAGGTATCTGACTCATTCATTTTTATTAATGGAGGGAGCGAGGAAGACATCCTTAGAGTACAGTATATGTATATTTAGTTAATTTTGCCCCAGAAAACAGGATATGCTTTTTCTCCCATTGTTTCTGGGGATTTTTTCTATCTGGATTTTAAAGTTTCTTATTAACAAGCTTAGGTATACACAGCATTTGCTGTTACCCGATTCTATATGGATTACAAAGTGTATAGATCAGAAGATTGCAGAGTTCTTCTAGTAGCCTCATCTCACAGAATGGTATTGATTGGTTACTCATACATAGAACCGGGAGAGAACATGAAATGTGGGTCTAATCTATTAGCAGGCAATAGTAAAATCTTGGTAGAGCTCAAGAACATCTTCCAATATTTGTGAGTGTACGCAGTAAGTACAGAGTTTAAAGTAAAAGTTCAAAGTTCAAACCATTTGGTTTTAAATCTTTGATAACTGAGCAATCACAGATTTAGTGCTGAAAAGTGTGTACTAGCTCATGTTCACATTGTTTACAATTTTAAACTGAAGTAAAGTCTCGGTATTTACAGCTTAGGCAGGTAGGCGATTCCAGTTGAGGGCCACATAGGGCTAACAACACTACTTACTACAAATTAGGCATGACAGGGCGGATCTTATTGAAACTTTTAAAGTACTGAACAATTTGGAGAATGTTGATCTGGACAATTTCTTCAAAAGGTCAAATGTAACATAAACAAGGAGCAACGGTTTCAAGTTCAACAAGCCACAATGTAGGACTGAGAACAAATACTTTTTCACCTACAGGGTTATTAACTCCTTAGAACCGCCTACTTTTGGCTTGATGTTTTCCACCTGAGCCTTAAAAGTTAACAGAGTTTTGAAATTTACGGCTTCGACGGGTATGCGGCTCCATGGGTTACTTAATATGAATTAAGTAAGCCATGGAACCGCCTACCCGTCGAAGCCGTAAAGGCCAATACTCTGTAAACTTTTAAGGTACAGCTGGAAAAGATCAAGGCAAATGGGGGGGGACCTTCGATAAGCCGCCGGCTTCCTGTCCTCGTCGAGGCCACTAGTGTTAGTGGCTCAGGTAAATAAATTTATAACCCTATGGGTGAAAATCATATATTTTTAGTCTTGCAGAGCTTGAAGCTGTTGCCCGACTCTCCTTCAGATTCCTAAAGACGATTCTTATTTTAGCTAAGCTTCCATATGCATATAATAAGAACTAAGGCAGAAGATGAGTCACAATAACGTGACTGAAGATATGAATACTAGACCACACACTTGAAGATGAGGAGACGACGACGTTTCGGTCCGTTCTGGAGCGGATTGTCCGTCCACAATCGACTTGATAATGGTCCAGGACGGACCGAAACGTCGTCGTCCCCTCACCTTCTGGTGTGTGGATTAGTCTTTAATAATAACTAATTTACTTGTCGGGGACAGGCAACCTGTCCCCGACAAGACCCTATAGGTGATAAGTGCGCCCGGCGTTGTAACGATCCGGATCGTTGAATAGGAATGCCGGACGGCAGTATCAAGACCCAAAGAGTAACATTGCATGACGAGTTCCGGCGCTCCTCAAGCCGAGCAGGTGTCCAGACGTCCTCTCGTCGTCAAGATTGGATCAGAAGTCGAGTAAAAGAGTGTGTCTACTCGGAACAAGTTCAAAGTAGCACGGGCTATGGTGAGCCCGTAACTTACCTGGCACAGGAGCAGGGCAAGTAGCACGGGGTATGGTGAGCCCGTAACTTACCTGGCACAGGAGCGGGGCAAGTAGCACAGGCTATGGTGAGCCCGTAGTGGACTTACCTGGCACAAGAACAGTGGATGGTGGGGGGAGGAAGGAGGTGGTGATTCTAGGCGAGTGTGTCCTACAGCGGATGAGAAAACCACCGTCAACAGAAAACGGACGAAGCAGCGGTGCTAACGCCGGCGAGCGTGGACGGCGTCCTGTGACCTCCAGGCACCATGGTCGAGAGAGAGAGGAGGGGCGTTTTATTCTCGAGGTGGAGTTTTATGTCAAAATTTAGTGTGTGTGACGACACTTTTGGTATCACCATGGATGAAGACGTACATTAATACCTACCCTACGCGGAAAATGGTGTCAGCGTTTGAATCAGGTAGGCAAAACGTAATATAAGAATATATAAATAATTTCCGATTCTCCCTCTTCTTCCCCGAGCAACGCCATGTTATCCAATATGGAATTAAATGGCATCTGCGTAGCGTAGGAAGCACACGGCCAGGCTTCGGGACGTATATCCCAGGCTTCCGCCATACATTGCGTCGTAGTAACGTGTAGAAATGTGTAGGTGAGGCGAGAGAAGGGAGGTAGATACGGGTTGTGGCAAGATGTTAGTGTGTGAAACAATTGAGACTCGGCAGCCCGCGGAGGGTGGCGGGCTGGGTGGCCGGGGTGGTTGGGGGGGTTGTTGGTGGGTGGTGGTTGGTGGGAGGGGTATGGGAAGGTGAGTGGGAGGGAGGGTAAGAGGGAGGGGTAAGTGGGAGGGTCGCCAGGTTGATGGTCCAGCCCGCGCTGCCAGCCGCACAAGCTGCCCCCCAACCCCCACCTGCCCGTGACGTCATGTCCCTGGTGTTTGGTGTGGAGCTGAGGGCTTGTCAACCTCTGTACGGCCATTAAGGCCACCACCACAATACCCTACTGGCCAACCAGCATGTATACTTTAGTCCTGAGCATTGTCCAGGACCCAGTATACAGTGCAGTACAGTACATGTTGACCGGAAACCAGGGAACACCTCTGAGGTGTAATCCTCCCCCCCCCCCTCCAACCACATATTTGCAATAGCATCTACACCATTCTGGACCAGAATTTAATCAAAACCTTTTTTAAATACTATACAGTATAAGAGACAAGGGAGGATAAAACACTTTTGTGTTTTATTTCCCTGTGAGCCTGCTGACACTTGCAAAGATATGAGCAATAGATTTGTATACAATATATACAATACACCTTATAATAATAATAATTTGTATTCAAAAGAATGTGAGTACAAAGAACATAAGAATGATGTACGTACAATTGTTGGGGACAGGAGTTACACCTACTAATTAAGCTACTATTACACAAAGAGTTTCCCGCAAATCATTATTCCTTCATTTTCTTATCGACGTAGAAGACATGATTGGATTGGACATATGCTATAATATCTCGATCAAATAATTTTGAATAAAGGGATTTGCTTTCAAGTCCAGAATAAAAACATTTTTGATGATCAGAGATAATAAATGGCCAAGAATGACATTATATTTATTACTATAATTATAATGAAGTTAATGTTAATAGATCAGATTTGTAAATATTGTACTGTACTTATAGAAATATAATGTTATTTATCTGTAATTACCTAAGTGTAGTTACAGGATGAGAGCTACGCTCGTGGTGTCCCGTCTACCCAGCACTCTTTGTCATATAACTAAATATAAATATAACAGTAATTAACAATAACTGTGGGCCGGCATGCGTGTGTACTGTACATAGGTCTCTAGATGCTACTCCATACACACTCCTTCACTTGTGCAGTGGTATGGTAGGAAGTGATTGATATTACTCAAATGTTTCTGTTAGCTGTAGTTGACTGCTGGGTGCTTTGTTATTGAATATTAGTGGCCTATAAGACAGGTGGTTTAAGAACTGCATCTCCACTGGCACAGTTTCTTCGCAACCTCTCTGTTGGATTAATAATGCTTGGCCTGGGTAATTTTTTTAATTACCCTTTGTTGATGATAATCTGTTCAATATATATTTATTGGGTCCTATTAAAAAGTATAATTTGGATAATAATTTTATTAAGGAGATAGGCTAAGAGTATCAACAAAAATAACAAAAAAGTTTATGTAAAATTAAATTACAGTATAGTAGAATATATTCAGTAGGTACTGTACTTGATAATTATTTGTACTTGTGTTGCTGAATTATTGCAACTGTTCATATGTTGCTAATTCTCTGAACAATAAGCCTATGAGAGTTTTAAAGTAAACAATATTTCTAGTACACTGTAGGTAACTGGAGAATTAAAATAAGTGATTACAAATCTTTAGATCATTTTGGATGGTGATTAATGCAGCAGTTAGTAGTCAGGTCTGCTCAACAGAATTGAAAAGTGGAAAAATAGAGCATTCATTAAAAGGCTTATTGTGGGGACCTGTGTGTAATTCAAAATATATTATACAGTATAGCATATTGTACTGGTAATGCACTTGTTCAGACAAGAAAACACAAAAGGCTTACTGATACTGTATTTGCATACTGTAGTCTGTCAGGGGACAGGGATGAAGTGAACACAAAATATACACAGAATTTTGTAATACATGAGCTTAACTAATACTGACCACAATAGATGGAACCCCGAAGAGGTTTGTGTTTAAACCCATCATAACTACAGTATACCTTAGAGTATTAAAAAAAAAGTTAAATTTTCTTGTATGAAAGCAGTTACTGTATGTATGTGCCATTATTATAGGGATCAGATACTGTCCACAGGGAAATTAAGACATGATAATAAGATATGAAATACTGTACAGTATACAGTACTTATATACTGTACTGTAGTGCTTTACTGTTAGAGGTGAAGAAACAGGTGTTCAGGTGAAATTATTTTGAGTGATGAATGCAAGATAAGGAGTATAAGTGCACCAAACATTTGTATTCATCTTGATGCCAGGGAATATTAAACTTTTTTATTTCTTTACCGTTATATTGGTGGTTAGAGATGCTAAATTTAACTTAGAATATGTGAGTCTTTAACCCATATCATATACAGTAGTTCAGTTTGCAATTTTTCATCATCCTGGTCTAACTAATTGTTTTAAGGTTCATATTGTATTTGTAATAAATGTCATCAATTGGGGACCACCTCCTTCCCTCACTCTCTCCTCCCTCCCTCCCTCCTTCCTCCTCCTCCCTCTGTCCTCCCTCCCTCCTCCCTCCTCCCTCCCTTCTCCCTTCCTCTCTCCCTCCCCTCCCTCCCTCCCTCCCCTTCCCTCTCTCCTCCTCCTTCCCTCCCTCCCCTTCTCTCTCTCCTCCTCCTTCCCTCCCTCCCCTTCTCTCTCTCCTCCTTCCCTCCCTCCCCCTCCCTCCCTCCCTCCTTCCCTCCCTCCCTCCTCCCTCCCTCCCTCCCTCCCTCCCTCCCTCCTCCCTCCCTCCCTCTCTCCTCCCTCCCTCCCTCCCTCCCTCCCTCCCTCCCTCCCTCCCCCTCCTCCCTCCCTCCCTCTCTCCTCCCCCTCCCTCCCTCCCTCCCTTCCCTCTCTCCTCCCTCCCTCCCTCCCTCTCCTCCCTCTCCCCCCTCTCCCCCCTCTCCCCTCCCCTCCCCTCCCTCTCCTCTCCTCTCCCTCCCCTCTCCCCTCCCTCTCCTCTCCCTCCCTCTTCACTCTCCCTCCATCCCTCTTCTCTCTCTCTCTCCCTCCCTCCCTTCTCCTCTCCTCTCTCTCTCCCCTCCCTCCCTCCCCTCACTCCCTTCCCTCCCTCTCCTCCCTCCCTTCCCTCTCTCTCTCTCCCTCCCTCTCCTCCCTCCCTTTCTCCTTTCCTCCCTCCCTCCCTCCCCTTCTCCTTCCTCCTCCCTCCCTCCCTCCCCTCCTCCCTCCCACCTTCCTCCCTCCCTCCTTCCTCCTCCTCCCTCCTCCCTCCTCCTCCTCCTCCCTCCCTCCTCCTCCTCCCTCTCTCCCTCCTTCCTCTCCTCCCTCCTCCCTCTCCCTCCCTCCCTCTCTCCCTCCCTCCCTCCTCCTTCCTCCCTCCTCCCTCCCTCCCTCCCTCCCTCCCTCCCTCCCTCCTCCTTCCTCCTCCTCCCTCCCTCCTTCCTCCTCCTCCCTCCCTCCTTCCTATCTCCCTCCTTCCCTCCCCTCCCTCCTCCCTCCTCCCTCCTCCTCTCCTCCCTCCCCTCCTCCCCTCCCTCCCTCCCTCCCTCCCTCCCTCCTCCCTCCCTCCCTCCTCCCTCCCTCCCTCCCTCCCTCCCCTCCCTCCCTCCTCCCTCCCTCCTCCCTCCTCCTCCCTCCCTCCCTCCTCCTCCCCTCCCTCCTCCTCCTCCTCCCTACCTCCTCCTCCCACCCTCCTCCTCCCTACCTCCTCCTCCCACCCTCCTCCTCCCACCCTCCTCCTCCCTACCTCCTCCTCCCTACCTTCTTCCTCCCCTCCTTCCCTCCCTCCCTCCCTCCCTCCCTCCCTCCCTCCTTCTCCCTCTCCTCCCTCCCTCTCTCCCTCCTCCTCCTCCTCCTTCCCCTCTTTCCCTCCCTTTCTCCTTTCCTCCTCCCTTCTCTCCCTCTTCTCTCTCTCCCTTCCTCCCCCCTCCCCTCACTCCCTCCCTTCTCTCCTCCCTCCCTGCTTTCCTCCCCTCACTCCCTCCCTTCTCTCCTCCCTCCCTGCTTTCCTCTCCTCACTCCCTCCCTTCTCTCCTCCCTCCCTGCTTTCCTCCCCTCACCCTCCCTTCTTTCCTCCCCTCACTCCCTCCCTTCTCTCCTCCCTCCCTGCTTTCCTCCCCTCACTCCCCTCCCTTCTCTCCTCCCTCCTTGCGTTCCTCCCCTCACTCCCTCCCTTCTCTTCTCCCTCCCTGCTTTCCTCCCTCTCTTCCCTCCATCTCCACCCTCCCTCCCTCTCCTCCCTCCCTCTTCTCCTCCCTCCCTCCCTTTCTCCTTTCCTCCTCCTCCCTCCCTCCCTCCCTCCCTTTCTCCTTTCCTCCTCCTCCCTCCCTCCCTCCCTTCCTCCCTCCTCCCTCCCTCTCCTTTCCTCCTCCCTCCCTCCCTCCCTCCCTCTCCCTCCCTCCCTCCCTCCCTCCTTTCCTCCTCCCACCTTCCCTCATTTCCTCCTCCCACCTTCCCTCATTTCCTCCTCCCTCCCTCCCTTCCTTTCTCTCTCTCCCTCCTTCATTTCTTCTCCCTCATTTCCTCCTCCCCCTCCCTCCCTCCTCTCTACATCCCTCTCCTCCTTTTCCTCCCTCCCTCTCATCTCTCCCCCCCCCTTCTTCCTTCATCCCCCTTTTTCTTTCCTTATCCCTCCCCATTCTTTCCTCATGTTAAAAATAGAGATAAGGAGGGCAAAAAAAGCTATGACGTTTGTATAGCAGGGCAAGCAAAGACAAATCCTAAAGGGTTTGTTCAGTTATATTGAAC